CAGTGGCTCTCTCAGTTTCTCTGTCACATCTGGAGCAATGGTGGGGGGATCTGGGGATAAAACAGGGCAAGGAAGTCAAAGAAGACCAGTGTATTGGGCCCCTGGGAAGTGCAGAAAGAAGGACCCAGAGAAGGGAGTTTGGGCTGCCCCACCTCATGAGCACTAAAAAGGGGAATGGGCTACATCTGCAGCAGGAGGGACTGGGGTTAGACCTCACCAAGGACTTCCAGACAAGATCATGTGCTGGAATAGGGAGGGTGTGGGTTGGCTTTTTCAAGCATCTTCTCAGACTGAGGATGAGATTAGACACTGTCTGCAGACTCACCACCAATTCAGGTGTTTAGAAGTGGAGATATCACCTGTGGCAAAGAGACTGGGACAGGGCAGGGCCTCACCATGGACTGTCAGGGTGGCCTCACTCTGCTGGTTGCCGGCTACAAAGGTGTACTTCCCAGCCTGGGTTCCCTGCACGTGGGTGATGAGGAGTTTGTGCATGAGACCATCTTGCTCAAAGATGACTCCATCCTGGGTGCTGAGCTGGAGACAAGGGCCATAGCAGGAGATGGTCACCCCCACCCCACCCTGGCTCCTCCATGTGAGTTAACCGGAGCCCTCNTACCTGCTGTCTCCACTCCCCATCACTGATAAGAGAAAATTAACAATAACACAGGCTAAGTTTGATCCACTTGCAAGGAATACAGTGCATGAGCCAGTTTCTTCCCCATCCCTCCACTCCACCCTCTTTCTAGGGAAAGGACTGAAACTTAGATGCCCCTTGAACAACTAAACTTGTAGACAGTTCTATTCTTACTGGAATCATTGAACAGCCTGACCACCTACAGTGTGCCAGGCCCTGTGGGGTGACCGGATGGTTATAAGACTGGGACAGGTGGGCCAGCTTGGGGACTGACCTGACCAGGCCAAAGACTGAATGAAGTGATCTTGGGAAGGAGTCTTCTAATCCCCACTGCCTGGCTCTGGCCCTGTTTGATCTCAATTTAGGGCCCCTAAGACATGCCTCACCCAACTGGCCTTTTGACGCTTATCTTCCAGCTCTCCTGGCCCTTTCCTTCAGGACTGCCCCTGACTTGTGGCCTCCCGTCCTGACCTGCCCAGCTTCAGAGCTGTCCCATGCTCACCACTGCCGCCCCCATCCTGGGTCGATGCTCTACTTACTCATGGGGTCCCGAGCAAAGACAGCATCTGATNGGGAGAGGGTTAGGGTTCGGTTTAGGCTGGAACAGACGAAGACATGAAAAACAATCCAACTCTTGTTTTGCAGATGAGACAACCACCATCTGAGACAGGAAGTAACTGAGTTAGGGACAAGATTCTGGGATTCTGGACTCCAGGTGCTGTGTGCCTTTCACTGTACCTGTTTCTCTCATTGTCACAGTGACAACTAGGGTCAGTTGGGATGGTCCAGTGTCAGCTTGAGTCAAAGACAGGTCAGTGTTCTAGGTGATTAAAGCCCAAAGGGAAAGACAATCCTGCTTTTGATGATGAGGAGCTGGGGCATGTTCCATTCTGAACATAAACCTCATGAGCGGAGCTGCCCTTATGCCTTCTCAGGCCCTGCCTGGGAAGCAGCAAAGAATCCTGGAGAGATCACTGGCTTTGGAGTCACCTGATTTAAATTCTGGCTCCGTCAACTACCTGTGATGAAGCCTTGGGCAAAGCACCTTGGACCTTAGTTTTGTTCTATAATTTGGGGTAAAAATATTAACCTCGTAGAGTTGTTAAGAACTGTAATGAGGAAACATTTCTAAAAAGCGCCTGCCTAGCCTAGTGCCTAGCACACAGTAGGTGCTCAATAAATGTTACTTCATGAAACTGGAGAAGGGGATCCTGGCTCAGCAAGTGCATGGCTGCTGCTCCAGGGCCCTTTTAAGAAAGGGTCTGCAGGGCTCAGGGGGAGGGGGAGGAGGTGGTACTCACCAGTGGCAGGCATGGCTTGCACTAATGTGTCCAGGGCAGTGGGCTCACCACGGCCCCCGTCGCTAACTGCTGTCACCCGCACGAAGTAGCCTGCTTGGGGCCGAAGCCCCTTGGCTGTGTAGGTGGTGACTGGCACGGTGCCCGCATGGCACGGGTTCCATTGCAGACTGTCTGAGCCACACAGCTCCACCACATATCCCTGGGCTTCGTCCCCATCCTGGGCATCTGGCCCTGCCCAGCTTAGGGTGATGCTGGTGTGCGACGTGTCTGTGACTCGGAGATCCCGCACAGGCCCAGGGGGTCCTGGCCAGGCACCATGGGAATGTCAGAATGGCACCACCCTCTGCTGAGGGAGGCCACTCAGGGTGGATATTCATTAGCCTTCACTTAGTGATTCTGCCTCTAGGACTTCCTGAAGCGCCTTCCTGGAACCAAATCCTTGCTCTATCTAGTACCTTGCCTCAGCTATGCCCACAGACGCCAGGCCACCTCCTCCAGGAAGCCTCCCCAGCTCATCCCACTCATTCACCACCTGCCTACCCCCTTCCCTAAATATCCTTCCATAATTCCTGAAAACTGATACTCTAGTTGATGACCTCTTGGGCTCCATTACCCTGGAAGACTAGAATTCTTTGTTTATTCTGAACTCTAAGCTCTTGATCAAGACTCTGCCTTTTGGGCACTTAGTGCAGCTTGTTCTTCACGTATTAAATGGGAACGATAATAACAGCCCTACCTACCCATGGGGGTTTGGGAACAAGCAAAAGGCACCATGCATGTGAAAGGGCTTGGAAATCACGCAACAGTCTAGGGCTCTGGCTCTCAAGCCTGGACGCATGTTGGAATCACGGGGAAGCTTAAAAATACCGCTACCTCGATGCCACCCCCAGAGAGTCTGATTTAATCAGTCTGGGGTACAGCCTGGGCATCAGGGTTTGTAAGAGCTCCCCACGTATTTCTAAATACACAACAAAGTTTGAAAACATCTGATCTAGAGCAGTGCTTCTCAAACTTCAATTTGTATAAAAATCACCTGGGGATTTTGTTAAAAAATGCAGATCCTGCCTCAGTAGTCCAGGGTGAGGCCTGAGATTCTGCATTTCTAATAAGT